ATCTCATTTGCTTTCTCATTCCTTACCTTTAGATAAGCCTGTACGTAATAACAACATAATTTGGGAGTTTTTTCATATGTTGAGAATCATACATATTCTCTGCAACTTTTTCTTCACACTTAATATGTCTTAGAAGTATTTCTTTGTCTGTTGTTTCTTTATATATGTTTAGTCTTTATAATGGCTACAGAGTATTTCCCAGTATTGATGGACCATGTATTTAACCATGCCCATATTGACGAACATTAGATTGTTTATATTTTCTCCTATTGCAAATAGTCCCATGATGGATTCCAAAGTAAATATTGTTGTCCCTGTTTTAGAAATGAGGAGATAGAGGCAAGTTAATCCCCTTGTCCCCTTACAATGGCCAGAACTAGGATTCAAACGGAGGCCTGTCTGTCTCAAAGAATACAAAGTTACTTTCTTTTCACTGTTATGCCTTTTAATAATTGAAGTAGAATAGGGTAAACACTTGACGAGGTGGGTACTACAGAATCACCAAAAACCTAGCTGCCAATAGAACCTCCGGGTCATCTGAGGAAGGGACATTTGAGCAGAATCTAGGAGTCTTCTGGGCAGAAAGGGAGAAAGCCACTCTAGAAAGAGGGGTAGGTTTATTACAAACCAATCAACCACACATGTTGATCACCTACTAGAGGAAACCTGTAATACACACTTGTGGAGAGATTTATAGAAAGAAGACATGATATTTGTGCACCAGGATCTTATAGCATGATTTGTGTGTGTGCGCATGAAATTTAACAGAGTAATAAGCTAGTGAGTACAGTGTAAATAAATACCTACATCATTTGGCAGCTTTGGCAGGGCCCTGGAAATGAGTGGGCCGTGAGGTACTGTCTGCATGGTATGGCAAAGAAATTTCCCCTCCTAATAGCTCAGTTTCTTCCTCTGAAATGAAGAAAGTACTATCTAGTCTCTGCTTACTTGACAGGGGTGTTTCAAGGCTTGAATAATTTCTGTAAATGTTTTGAGCTCCTCCAAGGTATGTGTTCTGTAAATAGGAGGTATTAATAGCAGCTATCAGAACCAAAACAAAACTGAATTGGGCTGCAGTCATTTTCTGAGAAAGAAATACAAATGCCCATAAAGCATGAAGCTCACACTGGATCCGTCACTTTGACCCTTCTCTGGGCAGCCTGGGTCTCACGTAGGACATCGCAACAGCTCAGGCCCTGATCTCAAGTGGGAAAATTCGGGAGACTAGCTGGATTTTCCAACATTTAATTTCCCAGCTGATTACTATGATTAACAGCCCATCTGGCACAACCCATTTGTGAGGTATGTGTGTGCAGGGAAGCAGGACTCTAGTAAAGGCAGAGATCTAACAACAACAAAAAAATGCCCAGTGGAGCCAACACTACTTTGGAGACTTCCACTAAGATGTTTAAATAGGAATTTCATCATAATAGCATTAGTGAGGCCGATAGGCCATATGTTGTAAGAAAGGCAGTTAGGGAGTGAGTGTTTCTCTTTCTCAGGGCTTTTATGTTAGCTTAGTGAGGATTTGGTGCTACCTTTGTCTGCCATGGGTCTAGAGGGCAGTGAACATGCTAAGAAGAAAATCCAGCTCTGGGTTTCAGTAGCAACATATCAACATCTCTACCTGCAAACTCATGGAAACTAAGCACTGTCCGGGGAGACGCACAATTACACTCCTGCACAGGGGTGGCGGTGATAATTCTGGGCAGTGGAGGGGGACCCCTACCTCATGCTCCCATTGCTCTTACCTCCCCAAAGAAAGCTCTGAGCAGTGAGCAGAGGAAGCCATGTGGTAGCTCTCATAGCTTCATAGCCCCTTCAGTGTGACTGCAGTTCCAAATCTATCCACCGGCAGCTGATCTCATAAGCACTAATAGGACTTACAGATGTGTAGAAACTAAGGTTATGATGCTCAGCTGAGCTCCCTGATGGAATTTCTTGTAATGTTCTGTTACCCAGGGGATCCAATGTAAACCTGCTCCAGACAGAGTTTTATTGTGTTTTATTTCTGAGCTCCAAACGTGCTTTCCCTTTGGAGGTCAAGCCTCTAAGTCTCCTTGAAAATTCCTACCTCATAGGTAGAGACTCCTGACTCCTGTGGTCACCACTTCTGCTGGGGGCTCCAGGTCCACAAGGAAAACTCATCAGTGACTTGATCTTAATCCCTCACTGCATGTGCACAGGTCACTGAGAAACATCTGGTGGCCCTGACCCTTCGTATCCATTTGCCAAATGTATCGAAGTGGGGAGGAACTGAAGAACCCATCTGCAGTCCTCTGTGGTGATAGAGGGATGGACTAGGTAATGTCTGACTTCAGGAGGACCTGTGAGCCCTATCTATTTTGCCCAGTTGAAAAAGAATTGATGACCTCCCTACAACAGTTGGAAGATCTTCACCTCTACAGGCTGTTATGCTGAGTTTCTTTGGAACAAGTCTAGGAAAGTATCCTCTACTTCGTCTCAGAAATGTGAAAATAAAGCTGGCTTCTGCACAGGTTGGAATTAATACCAAACTGCCCTTTGGGAGATTCCTACCCTGTGTCTCAAGAAGGTGGACTTCGCAGCCCATAATGTGGGGTTCAGCAGAGAAGCTAGATGAATAGGTAGTGAGAAAGTCTCTGATGTGGTTCCCTTGGGCTTCTATCTCTGAAAATGGACTTTTGCTTTAATTTCTTGGACCATACACTAAAGCTTTACCTTCCTGTAGGGGCAGAAGTCTATTAGCAAATCTATGAATTACAGTGAGACTTCGATTACAGTGATGAAGCTTCCTCAAGGCCTAAGGATTTCTAGTGAGCTCTGTGGCTGAGTGTCCTGAATAAAGGGCAAGTCTACTGATTTTGGGTTCTGTTCAGCCAAAGCTGAATAACGTCCTAGCAGGAGGGAGCTCAGCAAAGTCAATGAGATAGGAAGGGAAGCATCCCTATCTCACTGTAGTGTCTTCTCCTTGCCCCTGCTTGCCCTCACCTCGCACCAGGGACCTTCAAAGCTTCAACAGGGGAAATGGTAATGCCAATCTGGACCGATTGCATTGCCCAGGGAGAGATCTCTGTCATAAGATGTATCATCTCACATAAATTCTAAGGAGAACTAGATTAGGATTAATGGATTTGGCATCCCTGCCTGCACAGAAATTGTTCCTCTCCATGAGTTTTCTTACCTTCAACAGAGACTTAGCTGTCAGTAGGTTTGCATGTCTCAGTGATTGGAGGAAGAGGATGGGAATTGTTTTGCTATTTTTTCTATCTTGCTCCAGTAACTTAGAGTGTACTCTAAAGAGCGTGTGAATAAAATCTGTAGGACCTATTTCAAGCATGGTAAAAATCAACCTGAACTCCCTCTTTAATTAGCTGGAATGTGCAGAAATAAAATGATAATAACAATAATACTTTCCAGGAATCCAAAAATTTATCACGTAGAGGCTGCTGAACAGCTCATCCTCATTGTCATGAGGAAGACAAAGAAATACTGATACAGGAAGAGTTTGGGGTCAGTCAGGAATGGCAAATAGTTAGTATGTGTTTCATCATCAGCCTCCTTCCCCCATGGCAGTCATAACTTACTGAACGCTCATGAAACTCTTTCTCACTGAGATCAGACAGGATTTCAGAATCCTTCTCAGGTTGAACTCCAGACAGCCTCTACCAGTCAGTCAGAGTTGGCATAAAGGGCTTAATTTTTAAAAATAAAAATAAAAATAAAAATGGTGGCATCTTGAGTTATTCATGGCATAATAAAACTGTTTCAAAAAGGGATTTTGAACTATATCTGTGGCTTTTGCCAGCCTTTTCTGTTTACAAATTATTTACATGGGATTCAAGACTCAACTTTCCACTTACTCCACCCATTCTTGTCTACCGCCCCAAAAATATCACACCAAAAGAAATGGGAAATATGATCCTGCTTTTATGAGCCATCCATGAGGTGATGTCTGGTCCATATTAAATGTCAGAAATAAATTATTTATGTAAAATGAAAATACAGAGATGTGACTATATTATGGATATTAATCGTCCCCAAGAATAGCAGCTTAACCACCTTGAATGCCCCCTGAGGGACACTAGCACTTTTTCAATTATACTTTAATAGCCACTTGCCTTGGGAATATTTAGAAAATATGTAAACATTTTACAGAGGACACTGAATTTGATGTTCTTTCTTCAAATCTTGAATCTATCCCCTCCTCAGTCCTATCCCATTTGTGAAAACAAATACGGATTCAGCGAGCACCAACAATTACCTCAGGTAATGGATAGATGGACTTTAGTATGTGTTTAGATAGATAGGCTAAAACCATTTTGCAGAATCAGGAGCCTATGACCTGTTATCTGTCATGGATGATCAGAGGTACAGGAATGCACGGTTGGATTAGGTTGACTAGAACACACTACTGGAGACCTTTCTCAGCCTTAACTGACCTCTGATGTCAATCTCCAATATGAGCATTTGGTTGCTTATTCTTTGGGGTTACCCAAGATAGCAGCTGCTAGAGGACACGTGGCCAGTGTTTTCTATATCTTGGGATTATAGGTGATACAAGATGGCTGACTGACAAGTAAGGTAGAATGAAAGAAGGGGCGCCATGAAATTCCTTCAGTCTGACCTAGGACTTTCTCACCAGTTTGGGGAGGGAAGGGGAATCTTGATGCTGCCATTGCAATAATATATGAGCTTTGCAAAGACACTTTCCTCTATGTCAGCTCTCCACAGCATTGTAGAGTAGTAATACCAGCTGGACTTAGGGGACAATTACTGAATCATGTGTAAAGCATTTTGCAGTCTGAAGCATTAGCTCATAAAAGATGGAAAGGCAAAACATTCTGTTCCTTACCCTGTATATGGGGCATAAGACTGAATTTCAGGGCAGAGTAAGGGAAGGTCAGTTTACAAAATGTAAAAGAGATGTGGTCTTTGACCTCAAGATTAGAGGTGACAGATTTGGATGGCAAATATATATATATATATATATATATATATATATATATATATATATATATGCGCACAGAGACACACAGATACACACACACATGGACCTATACCCCTGTTAAAAATAGAAGTTGTATTACTTTATACTTTAAGATGTGTCTGTGTAGCATTTAAGTTTGCCAGTCACTATTAATATGGCTATTTTTCTTTCTGCATCTCAAAGAACAGACTCCTTAAAGATTTTCCAATATGATGTGAAAAACCATGGTTTTTATCTGAAAGTTCTCTGAGTTGACTTCTTGCGCATCTGATGCAGTCTTTCTTCTAGGCTCACCTAGCTAGGTTAATCGTTTGTTTACTGGTATCTTTCCTTTTTCCACAAAGGATTGGCAGGGTTGCAGGGAGGGTAGGTGGTGCTGTAATAAAAGGTATCTAATATGTTTTCTGTTCTTTTGGGAATTTGAGAAAGCAGTAAGCCAACTTATAAAGGAAAGCGTTTTTTGGACAATCTAAATGGAAAAGAATCCTCTGTTGCAGGACCTAGTTGCTACATTGATCCTGTAAATTAGTTCTTCCTCTCTTGGATGATATAGGCTCATGCAGTTCCTAGCAAATATGTCTTCACATTAGGGTGAGACAGTCCTTCTATTTCCAGCAGGCAGGACGAATAGGCCAAGGGGCGACTAGGCAGGATTTCCCGGGGTTCGGGCTACTGCAGCTTCCTGGACAAATGAAAAAATGCAGGTGTCACTCCCCTGCCCCCAGGCCAACCAGGTCACAGGGTAATTGCCCTGTTGCCTGCTGGGATAGGCCCACCCTGCCCTTCTCCCTCAAGGTTCATTTTTCATTTTGATTGAGTCATGATAGCTTAGTGCCACAAAACGTCTGAGGATATGCCTGGTAGGGAAAAGGTCATAAAGGACTCCAGTGATCTCCCCTTCCCTAAAATCCAGGGCTCGGTTTCATGAGTCATTTGAAAAGGATGGACAATCAGAGCTGGTTGCAGGGTTATGTCTTTCTCTGCGTATGGCAGGAGTGAAATCTCCATCTTGCTAGCTGAAGAGTTGCCTGGCTGCCTTATTTCAACTGAGGCAGCACAGCTTGCTTTAGCTTTGAAGTGTGAAAGCCAAATAAAGGTTGGCAAAGGGAAGGGATAGAAGCTGCATAGCCTTCTTGGAGCATGAAGAGACACATTCGGCCCTGTGCACTGAATGCAGAAACTTTTCCCATCTCTTTACCAATCCCTCATCCATAGCCACCCTTGAGAATTGTGACTAAAACAGCACAAGCTTGGTTGGTTGCCCCTCACTGGAGCTTTTCTGTGGTGGCTGGTCGTCGGACATTGTGAACTTTAATTTGGGAATGAACCAAGCAGATGCTCACTCTCCAGCTATCTGGGTGAGTGTCTTGCTAATCTATCCATGAGAGCGACCAGGGACACACACACACACAACACAGACACATGAACACACACACACATGCAAACATACAAACACAAACATACACACACACACACAGATCTGACTTTGATTTGCCCCGGCGCCCTGAGCAATGAGTTAGGCTATTTATTGTCCTACCCCCTCTATGTCCTAGGGAAGATTTTAGAAATTCTAATACGGGAGGCTGAGAAAGGAAAATATTGGCTTCTACAGTACAAACATCTCTGTCCTGAAAGAAAATGTTAATTTTCCCCTAAATCAAATGTTGACATATATCAGCTGCTGCTGAAGATGTGTCACTATGGGAGACGTTCTTGCTCCGGATCAGGGATATTGGACTGGACTCTCCTCTGAAACGCTAGCTGCTTTAGAATCTGAACAGGTTTGGTTAAGAGGTTCTATGAATTGTTCCAGTTCGTTTTCAAAAAGCTGATCTCCGTGGGACCCCGTCCTGAGCAGGGGACAGGGGACAGGGTGCCACTTTGTGGAGCGCACTGTTTTCTGCAGAAGCTGGGCCCCCAAGTTGGCACCTGCAATGATTTAGGCACTGCTTATCTCTGCCAGGGGATATAGGATTTTAATTGGAGATGTGGGAGGAGGGGAAAAGGCGAGGGGCACGGAGAAAGGATGGAATCCACAGGCAAAGAGAAATTTCCAGCACTAGATGTTTTACCCGACCCTTTTCCCTCTGCCCCCAAAACACGCAGTCTAAGTATTCTTTGTTCAACACCTATGTTTAAAAAATTCCAAATTAAATTCCCCGATTATCTCTCTCTCTCTCTCTCACACACACACTCACACACACACACACACACATCCTTTTAACTTGTTAAGTTTGAAAGATGATGATATATACAACCAGTGTGCTTTGCCAGTCTGCACAGTGAAGGCCAAGATTAATGCAGAAGGTTGGTGCAACGTTGCCGCAGAGCAGCGTGATCAGAATACAAGATGGAGCAGAGGGGGAAAGGCCAAGAAATATGTCTGTGCTTGGAGTTTACACAAGTCTCCTTAGCAACTTGTCTGAATTTATTTTTCCCTTACTGTGTGTGGGTTTCTTCCAAACCCTGAGTGAAATGAGAGTTGAATTTCTAACCGACCCCTGTTTCTCTGCTTCGAGGGTGAAACTGTTTCACTTGGTTAGCCAGCCTGTCTCTCTCTTACTGGCTCTTTCTCCCCCCAAACCCTCCCCTGTGTAGGTAGCTCTGATCCTTTGCATTGTGACTTTGTGGACTGTTGGTAGCTTTCCAGAAATTCACATCTCCATGGGGGAATGAGAGAGCCTGTTTCTGATGGCCACAGCTGTGCAGATTTCTGCTGCAGCCTTGCAACTTCTAGTGCATGCTCTTGTGTGTGGCATACGTGTAAATGTGCCTGTTTATACGCCTGTGTGTTGTAAAATAGGGAGAAACAGCAGAGCTCACTTCCTCTTGACTATTTCTTTTCTTTTTCTGTCTTGCTCCTCTCCGTTTCTATCTCTCATCATCCCTCAACACACACACACACACATACACACACACCCAAGGTCCTGTAATTCTAATTGGGAGATGAATAGAAAGCTATTAGAAAAAAACCCCTGACTTTTAGAAACCTGGTATGTTGGATTTTACATGACCAGGCTCGCTTCAGGAGAGACTAACCATAAATACTGCAGTGGTTTTGCTGAAAATTGCTTTACCTTGAAATAACTCTAGGGGAGTAGAGGTGCTGCCTCATTGGAGCCGATGTTGAATATGAATTTTAATATTCTTCCTTCTTGCACCCTCCCCTTTTAGAGTCAGGGGAAAAAAGAAACCTAGCCAAAAAATGTTAAGGTTTGATTTTGGCTCTTTTACAAACAGATGTTGCTTGTCATTTTGTTGTTGTTAAGCAGGCACCAGATTGGACCAAGCAGCAGTGTGCATGCATGCATGTGTGTGTCTGTGTGTGTGCATGTGTGTGTGTGAAAGGGAGAGAAAGAGGGGAAAGAGGGAGGGTAAGGGAGAGAGAGAGAGGCTTGGGGGAGAGAAAAAGAGAGTTGTGGGGTGGATAAAGGGCTGGAAGGCAAAAACAGATTGATTTTGGGAAAAGTTGAGAGCAAAAAAGTAGGTAATATAGGTTAATACCTTTTTTCTTTCCAAACTTCAATTTGGCTAAGACTGTATAAAATCGTATTCTATTTGATAGTTTGCTGTTTTTCCAAAGTAAGAGGGAAATGTGGAAATCAGTAGACGTGGACGTGGAGAGCACTAGGTGAGAAAAGCTGACCTCTTCTAGGCTGAAAGGCAGGGAGAGGGTTGGTAGGCTGTTCCTGTGCTCCTCTCAGCAACTATACCTGGAGTCTATACCTGGAGTAGGTCGAAGGTCTTTACCTGGAGTAGGTCGAAGGTCTTTACCTGGAGTAGGTCGAAGGTCTTTCTGTCCCAGTGGAACTTAGTTTCTTGTGTTTGACGGTTGCTTCTTTTTGTAAGTATCATCGGGGAGGTTCCAGGCTCTTTTGTACTCTTCCCAGAATAAGAATCCCGTTGTCAAACAGTCAAGGTTCTAAGGAAATACTGACTGTTTGCGTATTGCACATCTCTTTGCTTGCAGGATCCGAGTAATTTAATCCTCAATTCTTTCCCAAGCCACCCTATACACTCACTTAATTCGTAGCTTTCTAATGCAATTGTGGTATACTTTCTCAAGAGCAAAACATAGCTTTGAATATCAAAGTGTTAACGTTGGCTGGCATAGAGGAAGCCTTGTGCAGCGTATAGTCCATGTACATTAAAGAAGTGAAAGATGTCTAATTTTCAAAATATGTATCTGACGTTCCATATCAGAACAAGTGTCTTCTTTTTTTTTTTTAATTTTAATTCTTTTAAAAACCTTCCTGGCTTTATTAACAGTATAGCTAGAAAGGAAGTTGTAGGTTGGCATCATTGTTTGCATTTTAGAAAGGAAGGAAAATTGTCATCCTGAGCAAACTTATTGCTTTCAAAAGTGAAAGTAGTCTGCTTAGCCAGCTGCACACGAAGCAACTTGTTACTGGCAGCCTCTTAGGCTTTTGTTTCATCGAGTATGTCAAAAGCAAATTTGCCTCCAATTTCTCACTCTTAAATGGTTGATCTCTGTTATACATCTGTTGTAAGTGAACATTTAGTGGGTTTAAGATTGTTTTTAAATTACCGAAAAACAAAAAGCCCACTACTCTGATAATCTGAGGCATCTTTTGTTTTAGCTCAATCTGTCTTATTCTATCATGCCATTTTTCACCTCTTTGTTCTTTAGTCCACCTAGCCACACTTTCATTTTTCATTTTACATAAAATATTTATTTTTTTAATACAGGGGGATGTGTGGTAGGACGATTATAAATATCAATTTCTAATTTTCCCTGAAAGGAAAATTTGCCTGAAAGGAGCACTAAAACCATGGCATTGCTTTGCCAGTCTCCTCCCTCTCCTGCTTCCTTCTGGTCAGTTTTTCCTGGGTAGAGAAGAATTAATTCTACCTAAGCTAGCTGGCTGTGGTGCCAGAAGCCTCTGCATTGCATGCTTGAGAGACGCTCCTGCACTGGGGTCCGGTATCCTGGTGGCAATATCGCAGGTGGATAACGCATGGGGTGACGCATGGCACCAGTGAATTTCTCTTGGAGCAGCAATCGTTGGATGTGCCTCTTTTGTTGAGGTGATTGGATCTTTCTACAAAAATCGAGGGCTGCAGAGGGTGAGAGAAAAGACATCAGGAAAACTGAAAAACCATAGGAGACCAAAGACTAGCTGTCACTCCTCTTCATGATGTCGGGGAGAATGCCAAGGGTAGATTTGAGTTTTCTCTCTCTCTTCCTTCCTTCTTTCTTTCTCTCTCTCTCGCTTTCTGTTTCATTCTCTTTCTTTTTCTCTCTTTCTGTCTCCCTCTCTGTGTCTTTCCTTTCTCTTTCTTTCTTTCTTTGCTTTATAAAAAGTTGCTCTATCCCCTCAGGACAAAGAAGGTCTGCTGAGATTCTGTACAAGAGGTACATCTTTGAAAAAGAAGGAGGGTGGAGGGCAGGAAATCTTTCTGCTGGTGCCGTTCTGCTGACATCACCATGGATTTGGTGTTCAAGTCCATAGCCAGGCAAAACTCAAATACATTTTCCCTTTTGCAAGCAGCTGCACAGTGAGTTTGCCTTCCATTAGTAAAGGAACAATGAGGGAAAAGCAAACCCTGCGTCTAAAACATGGCCAATGAAAGAACGTTGGAATGGAAGCCAAGAATCCTGCTGTGGTGGAAAGGGGATAGACTCATGAATCCACCACAATCAGATATTTTACTTCTTTCTAACAGCCCCATCAGCAGAGAGAAATAATGACTCCCGAATCATTTCAGAATCAAAAAGTTAAAACGATGTCTCAATGATGCTACATCATGCCAGGTAATGATTGCCCAACTTGATTATACCTTAACCATTCTTAATTATTGATAGCCTAGCTCTTAATCATGTTTAGCAAATGAGCGGTTTGGTATAAAACATTGGTATTTGGGAGTATTGCGAGACTTCACATTCCTATTGGATCATTTTTCTGGTAAAATCGTTCTCAAGGTCTGTCGGCAGCCAGGGAAATTCCAGGAAAAAATGCGAAAGTGACTTATTTGCAGAATCTTTATATCGTGTACAGTTCTGGAAAATGAAGTAAACGTAATGCTGCCCCGTGATTTTCTAGAATTACTTTTATTCCAGTTTTTGATGTTCCTTTTTACTCTTGTTCTGGCATTAATTTTAATTTAGCTTTACAAAAGAATTGGGTGACAAAAAGAAACCAGACAAAAAACAAGCAAAGAATCTTGATCCATTTAAAATAATTTTATTTTCCAGACACGGGCGAATGGTTTGAAGATATTGGCCTAGCAAGATGGCAACGGGTTTAAAAAATTCATAAGATTCATAGGATTCATAAGAAGTTACTTTTTTCAGGTAATGGTATTTTCCTATAATTTCCCAAACCTTCCATTTCCTCAAGTTTTGCAAATTTTTAGGGCCTGCTTGAATGATTTAATTATGAAGAATAACTGCACTTTAAACTTGATTTGTAAAAATAGCAACCAGTTTTATAATATTCGTAGCCAATGAGTAGAGCAGCCATGGCATTCAATTCTGTGGAGTTCAGAAAATGTTTTGAAAGTTATTACTTAACAGTGCTTATTTCTTTTGACAATGATTTAGGCAGAACTCATGTGAAACTATCGGGCACTGTCCATAAACTCTGTGACTATCTTGGGTAATTGAATTTAAAAATATGAGTATTAGAGGATTGTCTCTAAAAAGCCTACCATGTGCCCTGAATTCCTGGAAGATAGGTCTCATATAAATTGCATAATAACAATAATGGTGTTTTAACTTTCAGCCTAGATTGGTAATACTATAAGGCATTTTATGGAACTATACTTATACATGTGCAGTAACTACGATTTGAGCTCAGCTATCATGATATAGGTAGTTTTCTTTTAGTATTCCTAAAGGACTTTGTGCCGCTTAAAAATGTTTGATAACATAAATGATATATTTTCTTGATAAATTACTTTACACTGCTTTTGCTATTGTTTATAGGCATTAGCCTACATTTTCCAACTTAATTATTAGTGTTACCATGTAAGAGAGCCCAACAGAATCTTGGTTAATAAGGCAAGCCAAAATTTCCTCTGAAAAGAACCCTTATTTTTTTCCCCAACACAAAGAAGGTTCTTGAAGGAGGCATCCAATTAATATTTTTGGGAAAATACCTACTCCCAAACAAACCATTTTTCTGCTAGGTCAGTATTTGATTTTCTTTTTTTTCTGCAGCCTAGGCATCTTCTAATTTCTCTTTTATTTTCTGAAATTAAAACTGGATTGTTTAGAAGCTAACACTACAAACCATTTGGAATGAATAACTTCTCTGTCCTAAATTTGCCCAAAAAAAGATACAGAGATGGCCCCAATTGAAACACAGCATTGACCTCCTTTCTATGGACTTCAAGGGTGCAAATACATGAAGGAGGTGCTACTTGAATGTAAATGTGACACTTTGACAGATCTTTGTCCATTGCTAACAAATATTGTGTTCTATCTTTTTAATAAATATGATAATGACAATTAGTTCTCATGACTTTGGAAGCCTGGGCCTATTCCTTCCCATTTTAATAAGAGCGCCTACATCTCACGTGTTCCAGAAATCTTTAACAGTGTTCAAAGTGCCCATCCTCAAATACTTCTGGCTCCAGGCCTTTGTCAGAGGGATCAAAGGAAAAGAGACTTGAAGTTCATTTTAAAATTTTTTATTTTAGAAAGGAAATGAACATTTATAAATAAAATAAAATAAAGACCATTTTGAGGTGACTGGTTTGGATCCATTTACTTCCACTTGCTATTGTTGTTTCTTTGGATCTAAAAGTCAAGCCACGGAGCTGCAACTAAGTTCTTGGTTTTGGCACCCTTCACAGCGCCAGGCGGCTCCAAGCAATTGCAGCCACAGCTCAGTCCTGATGAAACAGGCGGCAGTGAAGTGTTGATGAGCAGTTGCGTCTCAGCCCCTATTCATTCTTTTGTTGGTTTCCCGTTCTCCTGCTTTCACCTTTCACCTTTGTGTATATAACAGCCTCCTCTTTTCTCTGAATAATTCCCAAATTTGGCTCTTTTTTGTTGTTAGTAGAGTCTCCCAGATTCTTGAGAACGGAATGAATGTTCATATGTCGAGGCAAAGGAGATAAAGTTTTTGTGAGCTAGGATCTATAGACATTGCTAACAAAAATTGAAAAGGTCTCTTTTTAGGTCCTGCAAAGAGCTGGAGGCATATGTTTTTCCCAGTGTCTAGAAAGGGGGAATATTTTGCTTTTCATCATGCATCCTTGAAGTACTTATGATTAAGACTGTCTTCAATACAATTCACAAAAGGAACCATTAATGAAAGTTCATTGTCTTGGATGTTCCATTCTTACAAGTGAACATTGGTTTTGAAGAAAGGATTTTATGTTGACAAATTAAATCCTTTTATAAGAAGACCTCAGAAACAGATTCATTCCTACATCCTGGAGCAATTTCGGGGGAAGAAATTATACAATTTCTTTTCTGGTTGAAGTTTTATAAAATATGCCCTAACTTGCTCATTGTTGGTGTTTGGACCAATAATGAGGGTGGGTATGAGGGTGGAGTGCAAACATAAATACAAACTTTTCCTGAAGATGAATCTTTCAATGTAATATAGCTGGAAATGTCCTCTAGAATAGTTTTCAGAAAATGCTAGCCTATTGGAGGTGTTTTATTCCAGCTGTTTTCCAGAATGCAAATAGAAAGGAAAAGTTCACCATCCCTTTTCATGTAATTACAGGTATTTAACAAAATGAGGGGCCCGCCGGCTGGTGTAGTGGTTAAGTTTGTGCCCTCCACTTCGGCAGCCTGGGGTTCTCTGGTTCAGATCCTGGGCATGAATCTACACACTGCTCATCGAAGTCACTGTGTGGTGACCTCCCACATACCAAATAGAGGAAGATTGGCCCAGATGTTAGCTCTGGGCCAATCTTCCTCAATCAAACCAAACCAAACCAAACCAAACCAGAACATGAATTTTGGCTGTCATGTTTCCCTCTCTCTCTGCCAACAATTTAAAAAATTTTCTTTATCCTGCTGATTTGCATACGATATCACTTTGCCCTGATGTGTGTTAAGAACTGAATAAATGAGTCTTCTGTAGTATTAAATAGTAAATGACAAGGTTTACCTAAAGCTCACTGTACCTGTGGAGTAAGTGAAAACAAAGGGAGATGTGTGGGGGAGAACAGAGAAGATGCAGGATGAAGTCTTTCCATTTCTGGCATAAAACAATAGAATGGCAGAACCTTTGATTGGACTAATGATTTTAACGTTTTATTTTCAGACATGTCAAACCCCCAAACGAGAGAAGATACTGAGGCCTGTTGCCACAAACCCGTAGATCCGAACTTGTGGTGATAGTCCACACAAGCTTGTGTCTATAGGTATGTGTCTGTTAGGCAATCTCACAGACCGCGGGCTTTGGCTGTATGCCACTCAATATCCCTTCAAATACCTTTATTCTCCCTTTCTTCCCCTTAGTTTGCTTTAAGAGTGGTAGAAATGGAAAGAGGGGCTGACATGGAGGAAGGAGAACTTTTGATCTGAAATGGATGAGGTTCTTCGATGATTAATTTATAGGCTTGCCTTCAACTTCCTTATCTCTTATAACTACTCTGAGCCGTCAAATTAAGAGACTGGGCTTGCAGGTGAGGCGGCAAGAATTTCTGTGACTCAGACAGCTTACTGTTGAGTGATGAGTAAATTGATACATAAACAAGGGTTTGTTTTGTTTTCTGTAAGCCTGACTAATGGTTTTCAGAGTTATTATGATCTTTTTTGGAAACTGACAGAGACGTGTTTTCAAGACCTGTTTCACCCTAGTTTGAGTTATACCTTACAGCAATTCTTCCTCACTCATTGCTCTCCAAGCGCAGTCAAATCAGTCCTTATCTTTAAAAATAAAACTAATGAGAGGAATGAATGTGCTTAACTATTTATCCTTCTATAAATACCCAGCACTGTAAGAAAAAGAACTTTTTATAAAAAAGAATTAGCCTGTTTAAGTCCAACTTCATACTTGGCCAGGGCTGTTTTATAAGTCTTCACCATGTTTAAAAGGCTGGAATGAAAATAATTTTATCCCCTTGCCTCTTAAATGTCACCATTGTGCCAGGATTGGAAAGCCAAACTGACTAGAGATCAAAGCAAAACTGGCTGTATTTGTCTCATTCCAACAATGTGAGCTGAAGAGTCTGTAAACAGAACCCAGGGTGAAAAGTTGATCAGATTTGGATAACTCTTAAACTTTTGCATTCCCTTTTGGTCAAACATAGTGCCAGGAATTCTCGTAAGATTTTTTTTTTCTATGCAGCCTCATCTAGCAAAAAGAGTTCAATATGAAGTAGTTATTGAGTTAACATCAGCAAGAAGTTTGAAACTCAAGTAGATACATTTTATTTCATTAAATTCTGTTTCCTCTTAAGAGCCATGCTGTTCAGGGATAGCTAGAACTCTTTCGTTCATTGAGTATATAAAATGCAATTTTGTTTGTTGGAATTAGCAAGGCCCAGATAGAGATCACCTACGTTTAAAGGGTAGAATCAAGCTCTGTAGATGCTGCACCCAGGGGATATTGTGTATATGCATTTCCTTTGCGTTTCCCCTGCATAGCGTTGAGGAGGGTTGTCTATACATCTCAACTTTCAGCTTGCCAAGAAATCATTGCTTTACTATGGAATGATGGAACTTTACATCCAGAAGAGAAAGACTGTCTCCACTGGTGTGTATCATGTATTATTGTTTGCCCAAGGCCTTTATCCACCCATTAAGCAAATAATCTACTTGGTTGGTTTGACATGCCTCTTTGAAGTGGTTGACTTAGAATGGATAAGCTGCTAACAAATTAAACTTGTACCTTCCCTGGATAAACACTTGTGTTTGATAAAAGCAAAATCACGTCTCTACTCATCATCCCTTCAACCTGTTGTTAAGTGTGCTACCAGTGGGACCAATGGAGTTCCTGAATCTAAGGGGACACTGAGCTGCCTGTATTCCCTGTACAGGGACAAAACAAGGGCTGCAGGATGGCCAGTAGGTGACTGCCAGGTTGTTACTTTTAAAGAGGTTTTTTCTTTTAAAGAGGTTTTTTAAACCCATCACCCCAAGCAAAAAGATTATGCAGAACAGTCAATCTTTTCAAAGTTTCTAAAAGAACTAAGACGTTATTATTTGATTCACCTGGCTAGAAAATATTCTAGTGGAAAGCCCAAAGCCTCTGGACCCTGGCCACAAGAAACAGGATATTAAATATTTTACATGATGATGAAATTCAGTATTTTTCCCTTCTTCCATGTTCATGAATGAATGGTTCTGTAGATACTAATTATTCTCTTGAGGCTCCCTCAGAGTGGACCACATATTCTACAGGAAGTTGCTGAAAGTAAAATAATTTCAGGTTTCCCCAGAAAGACTCTAAAAATATATATTCAATAGTCATTACTACATTCGTTTTCCCTAGTTTTATTAAAATTCTCAAATCACCACTATCAAAATACATTTATTAAGCTGTAACACCAGGATATAGTTTAGATTTTTTTAAACAGAAAAAAATAATTCTGATTCCAAGAATTGTGTTCGATAAAGCAATTCAGCTCTCATCACCAGAGTTTGGAGGGGAGAGAAGAGCTGATATTTAGTTTGAAAAGGTTTCTTGTTTGTATTCCAAAATTAACAAATGGATTTCTCTACATGGGAAGAAAATGGTCTGTGTAGGGTAGAATTAACTTTGAATTTTAAGTTAATATGATTTCTTATTTTTCGTTGTGCTTACCAATCATTCCCCAAGATCTGTTAGGTCCTGTGGATCCTTGTCTGCTGACTGTGGCATTTAATCTCACCAAATGTTATCAAGCCTCTCTAATTACGATTTTAAAAGCTTCTTATGCCTGTAACAGCACTGAAATTTCACAGAGAAGTCAATATGAGTGACTCTTCAAAAAATGTCAAAGATTTATTAATACCTAACATGGTGCTCAATAAAGTATGAGTTGGAATAAAGCCACTTTTTTCTTTCAGTGTAGCCATATGGCTGGAAAAATTATAAGTTTCATTCACTCTCTCATTCATACAACAAACCTTTATGACTCCTTACTGTGTGTTCAGTACTTTGCTAAAAGAGTGAAGATATAACTCTGACTTCCAAAAACTGATTATGTGGTCATGATGAGTCCCTTTGCAGAATTGCATGTCAAGCACACTGGCACGAATTTTAATGAATCATGTGTTTTAATCATAACATTTGTCCAACTTCCCAATGCCTAGTCAATACAGAACATGTTCCCTAACGGGGAGTCCCTGCTTTTCCTTTCTATCAGACACTCATAGCATTGTTTGAGGTTCATCCTCACTTCATTTAGGGGGATTGCTACTGGTAGCACTTAAAACCTCGATGTTCAGTAGACTGAGGGTGTGTCTACTTGTAGTCAGAATACCTTTGGAATGTATTTTTTAAAGTTAAAGAGTACAATAGATTCTCTATACCTAAAGATATATAACTATAGTTCTTCTGTAAATGCTACTTAATTTATTTTTTACTTCCTCTTTTCAATAAGACTTTTTTGTGACATCATTCCATATCATAATTGCATGTTGTTATTACATGCCTACAAATATTTACACTAATTATGTAATGAGCCATAATTGCACTAATACATGATAATGGGGTAAAATCAGTGTAAATAAACAAGGAAATTCACACAACCAAAAGAGCAGTGTATTGAAAACCATTAGTATTCTAATGGCAACATCTTTTTATCTTTGACCCCTAGAAGAAGAATGTACATGGAGAAAGATGAATTTTTCCATTTCCAGATATTTAAAAGCTCTGTTAGCTATACATTTAGGCTAATATGCTAGCAGCCTAGCACACTGAAACTTATCCTCTCTTTGTTGTATTTTCTTTTGGCAACTCTTACCTGCCCCTCCACTGCCTTGTTTCCCATTCATAAGGGTTATATCCTGACTGTGTTTATAGAATCAGGCAAATGGCCAATGCAGGGAAAATGAAAGAAATTCAAGTGCAAAGGAAAGAAAATGAAATCTATTTTCTTTTAGTGTCCCAGTGAATATTAAATCTTATACATGAGTATCTAGAGACAGATGACTCACAGTGACTCCTTGAATTTCCATATGAGATCCAGGATTTAAGGCAAACTTGCCAGGTTGAATGCAGCCACTCTGCAATTGTTTTCCCCTCTGGAATCTTGATAGCAAATCTGCCTTACTATGATTGAAGTTACAAAGCAAGTGGAAGAATAAGGGACCTGACATACAAATAAAAATCACCTGGCCCTTCACTTTAGGTTCATTAATACTTCCACTTTATCCATTCATTCATATATATTTTTATTTCATTCAACAAACATATTTTTAAGTCTCTACTGTGTGCCAGGTGGTAGGCTTGGAGGTGGTACCAGACTTGCAAAGAAGAGTAGCTCAGCCCCATATTCAAGTAGCTCAGGGACTAGTTAAGGAGACAGATAAATTACAATGCAATGGTGTTAGGGTTAAACTAGAAATGTGTATATGAAATTATAAGACAATCAGAAGATTTCTTTGAATTGAGGCTTGAAAGATAAATGGGAGTTAGCTTGGTAAAATGAATTTCCCAGACTTTCCCCCAAAGCAGGTCACATTGATCCAACAGAGATAGCCTCCTCAAAATAGCAGCCCCATTCCGTAAAAGCTGCATGAGGGAATAGGGTGGTAAAAGTGGAAAAATAGTCCTTCTCCAGGTTAGTAGAGTAGCATGAAGAAACACCAACTCTGCAGCGTTTCTATCTATCTTTTGAACACAATCAGCACCATAGAATTATCACTCTTTGATTCTCTATGTGTGGAGACACTCCTCCATCTCTATATGCCTAGGTCCAGCTCCTTTGTGGAACAGCCTTTACCAGACAAAACCAGAGTCCAGCTAAGCAATGAGGAAAGGCTGCCGTCAATAGACCACAGAGCAGTCCTCATGGGAAAATACAAACCGCACCAAACGTGAGTTCGCATAGAGATAGGAAGTCATCAAGCTTGTGAGAATCTGTCTGCTACTCCATCATCGACTGGAGCTAAAGATAAAGGAAAGACCCCATTTAAAATTAAAAGTACAAACAGGGAAATTTACCACATTCCCTTAAAAGAAAAAAATACAGGGTTACATTTTTATATGTTGCTAAATAAACTACTGGGGACAGACTTTGTGAAAAAGTGTTGAAACAGTCAACTCCAGAAGGAGGGCCACTTTAACAACATGTGAACTATGTAATGTGTATAATAAATACTGTTGCGTGAATGTTGAACATAGCTTCTATATTATATGTTTACCTTTACTTTGCTCAGAATCCTGTTATCTATATCTTTTCACTGTGTTTTGCCTTAAACAATTTTCCCTTGTTTATTGACCCTTCAGAGATTCCAGTTTTACAGTTTCACAAGGGAAACATTTGTTTTCCTAATCCTTTTTTCAATTCTCGAAGTTTACATATTGGTCTACTTTGTATTCTGTCAACAGATACCAGAAGGCATTAGATTGAGCAGAACAACCACCATTATATAACATTACCGTAATTTTCATGCACAAATAATTTCCAGGAGGCCAATCCCAAGTATTTCCTCCCTTCCTGTCTACACACTAATTTCAAATCAAGGTTCTTGTGTTAGTTTCTCTATTGTCAGACCCTTTGATGTGTGATCTCTTGTGAATGGCCCAAATAGGTGACAGCACGAAGAATAATTATAAGACTAACTTGCAATTTCATTGCTTAAGAAATGGTAGCTTTCCAGCCATTGTGACTGCATGTTCCCAGGTTGAGGTAGTAGGTTGTATAGTTTAGAATTACATCAAGGGAGATAACTGTACAGCCTCCTAGCTTTCCTTGGGTCTTGCACAAAGCAACATGCCAAGAATGATCATGATTCATCCGGGCCTTTTTTTCCTAGGAAAGCGTATGAAAGGTAAGATTGGGTACTGGCATTTTAGAATTCAGGTTTTGTTTAATTCTTGTACCCATGTTGTATTTTCATGTTCTGTTTCTTTGGATTTTGTGTTTTACCAAAAACATGAGACTTTGAGAGATTCCATATATCAGTTACCCATTGTCACAATAATGCTGCTTAACAAACACAAAACTTTAGTGGCATACATCAATAAATATATATTTAGTTCATGAGTCTATGGATCAGTGATTTAGACTGGGCAGTTTTTCTCGTCTTGGTTGGTCTCATTCATTCTGGCTGTCAGCTGTCAGATGGGGTGACTAGGATGACTGGGGCAACTCAGTTCTATTTCATGTTTCACGTCCTCCAACAGGGTAGTTCCAGCACATTCTCATGGTTAAAACAGAGGGGAAAGAACAAGAACAAGCCAAATGGCTTAAATATTTTGCAAGCTTCTGCCTGCTTTATGTTTGCTAATATCTTGTTGGTCAAAGGAAGTCAGATGACCATGCCTGGAGCCAGAGAGGAAGATGCTACAAAGTTTCTGGGCAAAGGGCATGAATCAGGAAAGCAAGACAAATCGGGGCCGTTTTCGCAATCACATTGAACTTTCTTGGGTTTCATCAAGTTGAAAGTAATGTGTACCCTCCATCCTCAGAAGCTCCCAAGATCAAGAACCATGTTTGTGAATTCATACTTTGGAATTTAGGATAAGCTGATCTTTGTCTGAATGCTATTTATGTCCCTGTTAACAAGATATACTCCAACCAACTTTTGTGGAAAAATCGCCAAGAGACTGGAATGGTAGTAATGTGGGGATTGATTATATCAGATTATAAGGCTCAGTCATTTCATGGTGATAGCCAATGTCATGAATGATAGACATTTTGCCTGACTTAGACTGAACTCACACAATCTACACAGAGCATATGAGCAGCAAACCAGCATTAGAATACAAATCTGTTGGCTAGAATGGGGTTGCTCCGAGCCCAGACACTTTTTCAATAGAAAATACAGACAGGTAGTCAGAAGGTACTTAATGAAATTATTTAATCCACTACATTATTTTTCTGGCATTTTAATATACAACATAGGTAAAAAAGAATGGTTTTGCAGCCTTTCTTTCTGAGCTACCTTAAAAAAAAAAGACGAGATCGCTGTGTCATCATTTTGATTCCATGCTCAAACATTTTCATGGTGCATCATAGTGATTGTTACCTTACTAGGAAGTCAAGGATGACTAGCCCCAGGTTGATGATGAAGCACAGCTAAAGGTTCAGTGTTTTAGGCCATCCTGAAAGTTTACAGCAGAACTAGAAGCAAAGGTCTAAGGCTCCTGTATGGTCTTCATTTCTTGGCTTGTTCATTTATCCTTTAGAAGGGCCTGTGGCCTTGCTCTAGAAGACACTGTCATTACTTTGTCACATTTATTATGAGTTTGACATGAAACACAGTTATTACCTGTATCTGTGTTGGATAAGAGTTTGTGTATTAAACATCTGTAGCCACTTGACATATAAGGACCTACTTAGTACTGTTTATACATTTATATAGCTTTTTTAAAAAAATTGAGTTATCTTCTTGTACAAGACAATAAAATCCTCTCCTTTTCAGTAGCATAAACTTAAGTGGTTTCATGCAGCCATGGTCCCTAAAGGTAAAGTAGTGTTTTGGGGTCCTGCTTCTGAAGACAAAGTAAGTTTCACATAATTGAGTGTCTACTGACTTGGTAGTCAGGTTGCATCTGCTAGAGTTTAAACAGTGCCCTGTTTGCTTTCTGAATGGCTATGGTGTTTGGGAGGTCATACTGTTGTGTTTTTCAGCCAATAGCTCATGGTAAGACAAAGAGTTTGGGAACTGCAAGGAAAATAAATTATGTTGGAGGCCACTTTAGACACATCTTAGTGTCAGTTTCAGCAGTAGTGGATGGGTAAAGTATTATTCAAAATGTTTCGCTTCTTATGTCCATCTTTGGTGAGTATGAGCTCTGTTTCCTCAGGGAAACTCTTCACTGAATTTTATATCTGACAATCATTCTTAGTCCCAGAGATCCAAAATACGCCGTTAATACAAATCACCACAGTATCTTCTGGAATTAATCTTAGGATTTAAAAAGAAAGAAAAAGAGTTGCAGAATGCTGCATTTTTTAATATCATCAAGAAATTATAATATCTTTATGGGTGATGTAAATGTTATTTTAATTTTCCAGAATCTGGTAATTTAATCCAGCTATTTTCCAGCACATTGATAAGCTTCAAAACCTAAATGTGTCGCTGGCATCTTGACCTTCTTCATCAATCACGGAATGTTTTGCTGATGCAATTTAAGGAGACTCTGGCTAGTCAGAATAGCGAGTCTACAAACTTTCTGGAAGACAGGTCATTTGTACTTCTTTATTTGCATGCATCAGACTCTTTTTGACTTGGTTTATCAGTATGACTAGTTAGAGACATTTAACTAGTATGTGATAACGCAGTCAGTCTTCTTGTACTGGGTAAGTATGCACTTCCAAAAACATTCTTATAACGGCAAACACTAGCCTCTTCAAAGTTGGCTTTGGCTCATTATCTTCTCTGACCTTTCTGAAGACCCACGGAGAAATGAGTAAACCAAGCTTTTCTTACCTATACCAATATATATTTTCTAAATACTTAGTGCAAGCTTTGACTGCAAATAGAATAACACCTTACATCATTACTCTTCTTGTACCACTGTACTATTTTCCCCTTATCTCTTGCCCTCCAAATTCTAACCCCACCAAAATACTTGTTTTTCTGTTCTGAGTAAGGCCAATCTCTGGTGGTCTTTAATAGCCTATTTTTCTAACAGTTATACGTCCAAGTTCTATTGAAAGCATCTTTTAAATAGTGTATATCAAACTTTAATTGATATGAATCTACAGGGATCTTGTTAAAATGCAGATTCTGATTCAGTGGGTCTGGATGGGGCCTGAAATTCTGCATTTCTAACCAACTCTTAAGTGAGGCTGATGTGGTATATGGAACACACTCTTAGGTAGTAAGGTTTTGCATAATCAAATTCTTCTAAATTCCAGGATGTCCAGGCATTTAAGCTGAGGGCAAGAATTTGGCGACAGTTTCCCATCTTTAGATAAAATCCTTCCTTTAGTTGTAGTCACACAGCTTATCTTCTTAAAATATCTTAGTTCCTTTTCACTAATACACTAATACATAAGACTCAGCACTATGAAAGTTACATTTTAGAAATAGGGACATTGTGACATTGAATATAGTCCTAAAGATCTTCATATCATAGTAATCATTCACTCAATAGAAGCATCTTTGAATAGCACATGTAAAGAGAATTCAACTGGGGACATGAATGCAAGTACCAAACCTGGTTCTGCAGTACTCAAATCACTTAAACTTTCTGAAAATCAGTGTCCAAATATGTAAATCCATGGGCTAGAACTGGATAATAGCTGAGGTATTTTTAATATAGAATATTCTAGAATTCTGGGATTGTCATTCAGGAATCTTAGTGTCTAGGAGTTTTCTTCTTAGCCTCCATATCCTCCCGTCTTATAACATGAAAGAGGATATTCCCAATTCTATCTCTGGACTTCAAAAGAACATGAGCAGAATGGTAAGGAACAATTTGCAGTAATGGTTACCACAACAAGCTTCTATCACTGAAGGTCACATTAAGACAGTGGAAAAAGTAGGTTAGGAAAACAGTAAATATTAATCCCCATGTTCCTTCCATGGTTTGCAGATCACTAGGGTAATAAAGAAAAGTAAATTAATTTCCACCTAGTTAATGCCTATGAGGAGGGTGTGTTAAAGCACTGAATATCATTTTAAAGAAGAGATTATCTCAGTGGTGAACAGGATGGGGATATGCGCGAAATGTGAAATTTGCCACCTCCTTCCCTGGTTCCTGTTTGTGCTCTTTCTAAACAAAAATTATGTTCTTCGTGCTCCACCACCAACTGCAGTATGGAGCACATGAGAGCCTCTGTGGCCCTTCTCAACCCTTTTACATCAGTCACAGAACTCCCACTGTTCTGTGCTAATGCAAAATGCAATAACGTTTAGCATCAGGACATCTCTGAGTCAAGAGGTTAACGGAAAACACATCTCCCATTGTGTTCCTGCAGCTCTGATACTGTTAATGGTGAAAACACCATGGAGACAAATAGATCTCTCTTTATTCAGGAAGCTTTGAGTGAAGAGAAAATATATATGACATCTTTACAACATGAGAGCCCTCTCTATATGGTGCATTAAGGAAGGATGGAGGAGGGGAAAGTTCACATAACACTGTGCTTGATATGGCTTGAGTCTCATCTAGGGGGAGGATTCTGTCTCCTCCATTTTCTTTCTGTCGCTTTAATAAATAGTTCCAGTTCTGGCAAGGAGGAGTGAAATTTAACCTTTCAAGGTACAAATTCAGGGAAAGAGGACTCTTTGGATAAGCATAGTGGAAGACTTTTTATGGGTATTTTCTAAAATGTGACCAGAGGAGATATATGATGACATAGCTGCCTCTTTCTTTCTTGTTCTGCTTTTGTGCATCTTGTCTTTCTCTGTTGTGTGCTTCAGGTATAGAGACTGTGGACCCTATCTTTGTGAAAGGAAACTAGGGCAAAAAATCAATACATGATCATCATGCTGAGATTGTTCTTACTTGAAAACTACCTGAAAGTAGACTGTGTGTTCTGTATGGCCATATAAAGATCATATGTGAGCATATTTTTGTGGTCTTATTATCCACGCACTTGAGAATATCCCTCAGGGAAACCTTTGCCAAGGTCACTTCTTGTTCCTAGACAACTTTAAAAAGAAATTTGTTTTATAGTTTATGAATTATGATCAGAAGCTAAAATTAGGATGCTCCATTTCCTTAGGACCTAAAGACTTTTCACTCTGTGGTAGAAAAAATTCTGGATCAAGAATCGCTTTGGGGAGTTACCTGCACAGTTTAGATGCACCAAATAATTACCAAATTTTCTATGTTACATGTGGTCTTGGAAACATTTGGAGGGTATACATGATTGACGACCACTCAATCCTGTCAGATGACTGCACTGGCTTTGCTAGGGCAGGGAGTGGAAGAGTGGGAGTTTGCATTCAGTTTTTACACTGCCCTGGAAACTTCTAGACATGTTTCCAAACCCAGGCTGATGCACTGCAATACTAGTACTCTAATTGTTGATTCACTTGCATCAAGGGTAGCCAAATTTCATGTATAAAACTTCATCAAGTCCAAGAAGGAAGGAAAGGAATTCCAGAATGACTCACTGTTTAATGAATAAGGCCCCAAGTGTTCTGTGGTTGCCATTGTTAAATTTGAATAAAATGTATAGAATTCAAATCATAACTTGAATTCCAAATTAGGACAGGTCATGCTTAATGGTGAAGCTGCAATGTTATAGTGATAAGCTGCTTCTGGTCAACTGCTAATAAGCAACTTCAAAACATAAATGGGCCACACACTCATGATGTGTGTTCTGAATCCTCTAAGGGTTTAAGAGTCTTTTAATCTATTTGTAGCTTTTTATTATTGAGTAATGAAGTGCTGCCGATATCCTGGAACCAATATGCAAGACACATTAAATCAAGCATAATTCAAGCAGAACATATCCCTAAAGAATGAACGAAAAGGTGCAAAATGAATTTATGGGAAGTAAACTTATTTTGAGGGGGAAAATAAACTTTTTATTACTTCCGTGACCAAGAAACAGAATTTTATGATTAATCAATATAATTTTTAACAAAATTGCCAGATATGAGATACATGAATAGCCAGTTTAAAAAATAAAGATTATATACTACTTAAAGCTAAAATTGTTGTAAATACAGTTTAGTATATCTCTAAGATTTATAGGTTATTCAGAATCCTCTATGCTTCAAGATCAGCATTATAAAGCTAAATTTACGTTTTATAGTTAGTTGATGTGTGAAGTGCCAATTATAGACCTCCGCTTGGCAAATACTAGTTAAACTAGATTTTACCATTTATGTTCTGTGGCTTAAGTTGGAAACTCTTGTTAATATTGACTGTGATATCATCTAACGTAGAAGTGCCAAAATATTCTGTTGTAAATTAAACACTACTCTTAACCAATCTACCAAAATATTTAGTTCTAAGTACAGCACATACATTATCCTGTGAACTTGTGTGGTTCTAAATTTAGCCAGCTCTGTTGGCTATTCACTGCCTTGTCAGATCTTCTCTCTACCTTTTCCCTTCCTAGTCTGCGCTCTCAGAGGTTGACTTTCATGGGCTGCCACAACAATCCCTTTTGCCCTCGGGCTTCTGAATGTATTTGGCCAAAGGGAGGCACCAGCAGGAGACCCAAGGGAAAGTAGAGAGAGAAGTTAGGGTACTTAATCCCCCTCACTTTCTTCTTGCAGGCCTTGGGGTTGACCTGGCTTCATTCCTTACTGAAGATGATGGCCACCTCTTAGAGTTCTAGTTCTTGCTTTCGCTTCCTTTTTTTTTTGTCTGTTGAGTTAGCACTGATTTATAACATTATATAAGTTTCAGGCATACATGATTATAATTCAACTTCTGTTACTTTATGTTGCGTTCACCACCAAAAGTCTAATTTCCATCCACCACCATACAAACGACGCCCTTTACCCATTTCACCCTCCCACCATGCTCTTCCGCTCCGGTAATCACCAATCTGTTCTCTGTATTTATGTGTTTGTTGCTGTCTTATCTTCCACATATCAGTGAAATCATATGGTATTTGTCTTTCTCTGACATTTTGCTTAGCATAATGCCCTCAAGATCCATCCATGTTGTCACAAATGGCAAGATTTCATCTTTTTCCATGGCTGAATTGTATTCCATAGTCTATATATATATACCACACCTTCTTTATCTGTTCATCCATTTATGGGCACTTAGGTTGTTTCCAAGTCTTGGCTATTGTAAATAATGCTGCAATAAACGTAGGAGTGCATATATCTTTTCAAATTAGTGTTTCTATGTTCTTTGGATAAATGGATAAATTCCAGAAGTGGAGTACCTGGATAATATGGTAGTTCTATTCTTAATTTTTTGAGGAATCTCCATACTGTTTTCCATAGTGGCTGTAGCAGTTTATATTCCCACAAGCAGTGTCTGAGGGTTCCCTTTTCTCTCCAGCTTCTCCAATACTTGTTATTTCTTGTCTTGTTAATTATAGCCATTCTGATGGGTGCGAGGGGATATCCCATTTTAGTTTTGATTCTATTTCCCTAATAATTAGCCATGTTGAACATCTTTTCATGTGCCTATTGCCCATCTGCATATATTCTTTGGAAAAATATCTGTTTAGATTGTCTGCCCATTTTTAAATTGGGTTGTTTGTTTTTTCTTGTTGAGTTGTATGAGTTCTTTATATATTTTGGATATTAACCCCTTATCAGATATATGATTTGCACATATCTTCTCCCAATTGGTAGCTTATCTTTTTGTTTTTTTGATGATTTCTCTGTAGCTTCTGATAACCACTCTCTCACCTTGTTCTCTCAGCACTAGATATGGTAATGACTTCCCCCTGTTGTTAGTCTTAAGACACTTCACCATCCTTTTTTGGTTGCTGTTAACTCTGCCCAATCTTTGCAAAGAATCCTTCCACTAAACATCCCTCAGTTTCCCCTATCTGACTGTGCTATTTTCTTGTCTGGAGTCTTATTTTCTAGCTAAAGTCATCATAAACTAGATAACAGAAATTAGTCATTCGCTTTCCATCCTGTGTGGGAAATGAGGGATGGGGGAGTAGATATTTATCTTTTCTATAATACTTTAAGCTCTGGAAGGGCAGGGACCATATCTAATACCTCCTTTATAATTCTTTACAACACCTGCAAAGGGCTTAGCTCACGGTACTACATGCTCAATGCACATGGACAGTCTTACTGACTTCCTCTGAAATCCTCAAATTTGTTACAGGCTTAAATGGAATGTAGCCTCTTGACTTAGGATGTAGACTTTAAGAAGTCAAAGACCGCATAATTTTTTTTTCAACAGCATTTCTGATATAATATAATCTCACATGACACAAATATCATACCCATTCTGCAAATTCTAATTTGGTAAAAATAGATTTACTCCATGAGTTAGATTTACTTGTGTTTAGTAGATGAGAAATAATTCTATTTAAAATGTTTATATCTAATTTTCCTTTTACATTACCAACTCATCCTCTAGTATTTGTTAGTTTTCTTCTATTTGTGCTATTTTTTATATATTTATTTATATGGCTTTCACTTCTTCAGTAGTACTGACAACTTTCTGAATATAATCTTGGTAGAGGGAACGCATAGATTGAAATAGGAATTAAGAACCACAGGATAAAGGGAATAGTTACCAGAATGGATATCTTCACAATTTCTTTGGGGTTCATATTGCTGGTTTGCTCCCTGACTTTACCATAATGCCAAACCTATCCATACTTTAAATTTCAAAATTACTCCCAATTTTATGAAACGTAAATGGAAAACACTTTGATTTGTAAAGTAGTAAGTTATTGTCATATTGTATTCATTTCCTACTTAGTGCAAATCAATGTTTTAATATCTAATTGCTCTGAAACTTGTGAAAATAGATTAGGGAAAAGTTAGGAAGAACTAGCCTTTTGACTTTCTTTACTGAGAGGAAACTGTCTGGCTAGTTCAAAGAGCAGATTCCTTACTGTTCATATTTTGCTAACAAGATCATTTCTTCAACAAATGGAGGCAGTTGGAACATTGTCAAGTCAGATAAGTTAAACTTTGTGTCTCCCTGATAAGTGAAACTGTTTAATGATAATTTTACTAGTCCACTTGGGAAGCGACCAAAGCACTATTAGATAAGTTAAAACAAAAAAAAAAAAGCATGGAAAATATTTTTGCCAACTGTTTCTTCTTGGCCTCTTGGCAGAGATCAACAGTTACGTTCCCTATCTGGGGACTATCTCTTGTGGGCCAGACCGGATGATCTAATAGGTCTTTACAATCTCTAAATACTGTGACTTCTATCCCCAAGTGAACTACATAGTTTATTTACATAGAAACACACTCACAGGCTTAAGGAAATGCAGTATGACTAATGCTAAGGAAATTGAGCCAGGATGACTCAAGTGGCTTTTTTCTAAATAGGATAAGTAAATTAAAATCATAGATATTCTTTCCAGTTTCCCTCCAGCATTGCAATATGTAGATTTTAGACGTCAGAATTTCCCAGTAGTGAATTAGTTTTCTGCCACTAGCAAATTATAAACATGTTGTCCCGTTAAATCAGTAAACCTTTGCTGTCCTTATCAAGAAAGTTCTTCAATGGAGATTTGGTTTAATTGTTGTTTTAATTTCACATTCTATCTCAGGCACATGGGAAATTAAAAATGTTGGGAACGCTAGAAAAATAAAAATTGCTAGAAAAATACAAGCATGATGAATAAAGCATAATCACTGTGCATTTCAACTTTATTAAGAATGTGTTTTTGTGCCTTTGGCTATGTTTATCTAGATAAATGAAGCATTGGGAGGAATCTCAGATTTTTAATAAAAAAATTGTCTCCTCAGGACTGTGTTGGCAAAGACAACACTTTTAAGGACCCTTTTTTTTCTCTACTTTGTGTAAACATTTTATGCTTTCCCCATGAGGTAATACTTTCAATTGTCTATCTGGGACTAAAAATCAAAACTATTTTTATTGTTGTTGTTGTTGATTTTTAAATTTCTTTAATCAACTCTCCTCCATATCTGACATTGAGCCCCCTTGAAAATAAGTATGGGGACAGTCAAGAGATCTTATTTCTAGAGGGCTTAGAACTTCTCAGCTGATTACCTGCACAATTCACTCTGGCATACATAGGTTAGAAGAACCTGGTTAAGATATACCAATTAAGAGGGAGATGACAAAACTCTCATATTACCTATGGATTGTGTTCCTAAGGCAACTGGACAAACTTCAGGCCATTCTTTATTTTCAGAGCTGGTGCCTGGATGCCAATCCTTTCTGATGAAAATAGTGGTAGTGAGGAATTCTGTCTGAGGGTTTGATGATCAGTATCTTCTATTTTGCTTTCTGCTTTTAGGGTCCTGATTTATCATTTGGAAATACTTCTATTTCAGCACTGAGGAAAGCGGCCATGTAAATATAATGCGTTGCTTTCTGATATGCTATAGCTTATTGCACAATTGATTATGTCGCTTACTCTTAAACAAAGCATTCCTTAAAATATGATTATGTTTCTACAGGCTGTCTGAAGGTACATGCTAAAAGTTCCAGTAATTCACTCCCAGCCCCCTCTGTGTCAAGTGAAGACATCTCTCATTGTCACTTCCCACAATAAATTCAATATGGAATGTAGCATATATTCCTTATCCAGCAGTCTTATGCTTTAAGTGAGTATCGCCTTCATGAATATAATTCATTTTATTAGCTTAGTTTAGTGTCTCATCACACATTCTACGTATGATTTATCTTTTATCTCAGTTACTTTCATAGCTCATGCTTTGAAACTGCCCTAAAACTTAGATTCCTGCTGAGGGCTGTGTTTGTCGTTGAGGATGCATTTGTGTTGACTGTGTCCTCCAAAGTTTAGCTCAATGGTCCCTTTCTCTCCTTCTGTTTCCCTTTCACTTCCCTCAGGTAGCTCTTTCTTTTGTGCTCACATAATACTTAGTTCAAACAACTATCTTATCAGATTATATGAGTATTATAAATATTTATTTTACTGATAGTTTTGTGAATTCCTTGATGGGATGGACACTATTTTAATTAATCATCCTTTTATTCTCAGGCTGATACATAATAGTTGCTTAAGTGTTGGTTCATTTGAACCAAATTTTCTTTCAGTAAACAATTTTTGACAGGCCCATGATCTAGGAAACGTCAAACTCAGTAACATTTGTACCTTACGTTTAAGTTTTGTATTATATTCTGTAGCATCTCTAGAATTTTTTCCTTTCATTCTGCTATTGTTTCAGTGAACAAGACTGAATCTGAAATAGGTTGAAAAGTTTCCTTAGAGTGTTGTGAGTTCCCAGAAATGAAAGTATTCATTAAACTACAGAAACAGAGATTAAGCTCCAAAGAGAAATATTTTAATGCTTATCAGAACAGAATTGACTAAATTTGATTACTTAATTTTTATTTCAGAGTAATCACATGGAATTTTCCTGCAATGGAACAAAACTTATTGGTGAAGAAATGTCCCTTGATGTACCCTTTTCTGCATTGTTCATTGAGTGTAGATAAAATCATCATGGTCATGAAGATGATGAATGCTTGTGCTTTGATGTTGCTAAACTTCCACAGTTGTTGTAGCTTCCTACTGAGCTACATTTCTAGTATAGTTTTTGAAGTTTTTTTTTTTAACTAAGGAATATATTTTATGGTGATGGTGGTAGTGGTAGTAATCATGGTGATTTTTTAAAAATTATTTCATTGAGGTCATATTGGCTTATAACATTGTGTAAGTTTCAGGTGTACATTAGGATATTTCAGCTTTTGTATAGACTGTATCGTGTTCACCACCAATAGTAGTGATGGTGATTTGTTTCACTAATATTCACTGTGCAAATGGAATAGACACTAAATACTGAGTTATTTTTTGCAGTTAATCAAAATTAAAAAGTCCTTCAAATTAAGTGATATATTATTACAATATTAACTGTGTCTAGCATTGTCTGTTCAATTTAAGAATTTGTTGAATACATTTATTCTTGTGTTATCTTTTATTTTTAATCTCAGGAATGAAATAAGTAAACCTTTCCATCCGGAAGGATTTCACTATAACCCTGCCTAAAGAGTTAATGTTACTATTGTTAACCACTAATCGAGTTTTCTGATCAATTTCATTTCGCTTTATCAAGTAACTGCTAATTCACTACCCTTTTGTTCTCTTTTCCCCTATGTCTATTTCAAATTTTAATCTGTCAATAATATGGGCCATTAACAATGTGTTGTACCTTCTTCATTCTTCTCTGTTATACACAGATTATATTATTTATACATATATACTTTATGTATATTATGTACATATGCATGTTAGGTATATATATATGTGTGTGTGTGTGTGTGTGTATCTATCTCACATTCATTTGTTTGGATACTAAATAGTACTTTCCTGAGCATTTATGCCAAGTGCTGTGGTGAATGCAAGATAGATGTGATATTTCCTGCCCTCAAAGATTTTGAAATATAGTCAGGAGAATAAAATAATTACAAAATAATTCTTCAGAAATACAAGTGCATTAAATACAATCCCAAAGTGCTATGGCGAGTCAGAGGAAGATGATATTTCCAAGTATAGAATCAGGGAAGATTTCATGGAAGAGATGTATTTTGAGCTGGGGCTTGAAGAGTTGGTAAGATTTTGAGGGACAGAGATTAGGGACAAAACATTCCTGATAAAGGGAAAAGTGTAAATAAGGGACTTGATTAGGGAAAAGTAGGATCTATTTGGGAACAGAAATAGTCCATTTGGGCTTTGACATAGTTTGTGAGTGGATTTAATAGAAGAAAAGGCTTTACAAGTAATCTGAAATCAGTTCATAGAGGGACTGGAATGCCATGTAAAGGTGTTTAGAATTTCGTCAGTTAGCCATGGGGAACATGTAGGTTAATTAACTATCTACTTTAAGATGATTAATTATAAAGTGGACGGGACAAGATGTGGGGAGACTAGTTAAGAACTTACTACCATAGACTCAGGTGATGTATGTATCACTATGAACTGGAGTGTTGGCCATGTGTGTAGAAAGGAGGGAATATTTGGTATATCCTGTCCATGTGATTGGAATTCAACAGTAGATAAGTAAGAATAAAAATGGTAAGAACTCATTAAAGGTTGATTGAGTAAATTAACTTATTTTGGATTTAAATAGTATGGTTTTGTGTTTTTGCAGAAATACTTGGCAGACCAGGAGTGGAAGCAGAGGAAACAAATGGTGATTACCAAGATCATAGTTTGGAAAATGAAAAGATGTAAAGGTCAAAAGATAACAGATCTTGGGGTGCTAGTGAAAGCATCATGGGAATGACTTCACCAGTGCTACCGACTAAACAGAGATCAAGTTTAAGTGCAGCTAGAAGAGAGTGATTAGCTGGGGGGATATGTAGGAATTTTGGAGTTTCTATATCATAATTAGAAATTGAATAGATTCAATAGAAGTGAGGAGTGGCTATGTGATAATTAAGAGAGGATTTCCTGAAGGTGAAGCACTTCCAGATAATGATGATGTTCAGGTTGTGGCCATATGTACTGATGACTAAAATGGAAATGAGACGAATATCACTGGACTTGATGAGGCTAGGGTACTAGAAAGGCCCTCCATGTAGACAGAGTGGGGAAGAAGACCATAAACTGAGATAGAACTAAGTGATAGAATTAAAACGTCCCCAGATGAATGAAAGTTCAGAGACAAATTTCCATGAACTTTCTCCATCTCTAAGAAAGTTGTGATACTAAAATTGGGCAAGTCTTAGTGAAGAAGCCCCACTCTTTCTGCCAGGTTCTGATAAACTTAAGAATGCTCAGTCACTTTCTAATATTTCAAAGATTCAATTTATCATTTCAAATACAAAATTATACTTATTCTCTTATTCGCTAAAGGAAAGGGCATATAAGTTCACGATCATTGGATGTGTTTAAAGGTGCAATCAACCCTCATTATTTATGAATTCCATATTTGCACATTCACAAACTCACTAAAATTTATTTATTTGTAAACCCAAATTAAGGTAGTATTTTCATGGCCATTTGCAGAATGCGCAAAGCAGAGAAAACTTTGTGCCACCAGATGCACACATTCCCAGCTGAGGTCAAACAGGGCAACACTCTGCCGCTTTTTTAAAGTTCTCATACTGTGTCATTTTGAAGATCTATTTAGTGCCACATTTTTCGCATTTTTGCACTTTTTGTTCATGATTTCACTGTTTAAAGAGGCCCCCAGGTATAGTGTTGTAGTGCTGTCTAGTGTTCCTAAGCACAAAAAGCTGTCCTGTGCCTTAGGGAGAAAATATGCATGTTAGATAGGTGTCATTCAGGCATGAATTTAGTGCTGTTGGCCGTGAGCTCAACGTTAATGAATCAACAATATATATTAAATAAAGTCTCTTTAAACAAAAACACACATAAAACAAGACTATCTTTGGTTGGTGAAAACATGACCAGAGGCTTGCAGGAAACTAACCCTATATTTCCCCTAGGAGTAATTCTTCAGGATTCACTAATTCAGTGTTCACAGCAACTCTATAGAACATAACTACTGCAAAGAATGCGAGTTGACTGTACCTTTTTGTTTCGGTTAAAGGTAGCTGTCTTAGTTGTTTGGATCCACACTCAAGTTCTTTATCACTAATGACCATTCCTTCTTTGCAGTGATAAACTTTGCATAGGTACTGTTCTCTTGTCAATTGGTCGATGAAAACCAAAATATGATTTATTTAAATTTTTATTTTGAAGCAATTTTAGACTTATAGACAAGTTGCAAAAGAGTACAGTGTTCCTCTAATATAAGATTCCCCTAATGTTAATATCTTCATAACCACAGTGCAATTATCAAAACCAGGAAATTAACATTGTTGTGATACCACTAACTAATCTACAGACCTAATTAGAATTTCTCAACTTTTCCCATTAATGTCCTTTGTCTAGTGCAGGATCCAGTCGGGGATCCCACATTGAATTTAGTGTCATGCTTCCTCATCTCTTTCAATCAGGGACAATTCTTCAGTCTTTCATTGTCCACCATGAACCTGACACTTCCAAAGAGTACGACTGGTCAGATATTTTGTAGATTGGCCCTCAGTTTAGATTCATGTGATGTTTTCTCATGATTAGATTGAGGTTACTCATTTTTGGCAAGAATACTATAGAAGAGATGATGACCTCATATCAGGGTCAATGATGTCAATATGTTGTCTTACTGGTGATGTTAATTTTGACCACTTCGTTAAGGTAGTGTCTGCCACATTTCTCCACTATAAAGTTAAAGTTTTTTCTCTTTGTAATTAATAAGTGGAAGATGATTTTTTAATGTTAAAATTTTCTAGATTGCTTTTCAACCAATCAGCAAGCACGTTATCACTTATCAATTCAGTGCTGAGCACAGTGATAAGGAGTTGGCATAATTTTTAAATGGCATTCTTTTGTTCACTGAGAACTGACAGTCTACTCAGGGAGATAGATAAGGGATACCTTAAACAACATTATACACGGAAAAATATAGAGAACTACATTGTGGCAAATTGTGTGGCACAGGATATAAGAGTTACAGGAGTGACCAGGGAAGGCTTCCTATGAAAAGTGGGAACACCTGCCGGACTTTGAAGGGCAGGTAGGATTTTTCCAGGTAGAATTTTATAATATAGTGAAATATATTGAATACTTTAGTTCCTTAGGAACTGTGCTAGAAGCCAGCAATATTTAGATAAAAAACAGAATCCCTACTTTCTAGGAGCTCCCAGGCCAGTGAGAAAGGCAGAGATGTCTATAAATGGGGAGCAAATGTGATCAGTTTTGTATGAAGATGGGAGAAGAGAGGGTATTATAAGTGTAGGGAGCTATATCGTACTTTAGAGATGAAAGGAGAACCTTCTGCTCAAACTCTCTGCGCTCTAAGAATGCCAAAAAGCATTCCTGCGATGATGTCATTCAGTCTATACTTGAACATGTCTAGTCACAAGAAGTGATCGCTGAAGACATATTCCACTGATTTATGCCTTTTACTGATAGAAATTTTTTTTTTCTATTGAGCCGAAATGTACCTCCTCCAAACTTTCACCAATGGGTCTAGTTCTTCCCTCTTTTGCTGCAGGAAATAATTCTACTCCTTCTGTTTCAGGATAGTTCTTAAAAGTGCAGACATTATATCCTTTCTTAATGTCCCCCTTTCAAGGTAAACATGAAGAAATCTATATACTATATGTGATTTCTACATCCTTAACAATTCTTCATGTATTTGTTTGTTAATTGATGTGGCAACCAAAATTGAAAATATTTTCAGGCTTTCCAACCAGTGGAGAATCTCATGTAATTAGCCTCTTCTTTGTTCTAGACAACATAATTCTGTTAATACAGCCTAAGTGTGCTTTGGTTACTCTGGAAGCCAAACTGTTGGCTTCGTTTCTGTTTCCTTTCTAAATAATCTGTTCCCCCTCACTCAATTCCCCACACCCTCATCCTCAGCCTGATTTCTTCCCCCGGAAATATTTAAGAATAATTATTATATGAGGTGAGGTCTCCCCCATTCAGTTCAGTTGCGGTTTTGAACCAAGCATTCAAAACTTATTTCTGTCATATTTTGTGCTCTTCATTTTGGCCTCCTATTGGAGTTCTCTTTATAGTTTGATCTTGTTGTCTGACATAGCTTTCATTTTTTCCCCTACTTTTAATATCTGCAGATTTGGTAAGAATATAATCTATTTTTATCCGAGGCTTTAATAAAATAAATAAGATAGGGTCAAGAGCAGAGCTCTTGGACAAACCATGTATGTCCGATCATTTCACAATATAAAAAACTCCCACCTATCCTACCAGTCAGCCTCTGTGTTTCACTCGTTCTAGAGGGAATGTGTGGTGAGGGGAGAGCAGGGCATGCTCATTGACAGTGATGAGCCTGACCTAACCAGAGCCGAAGGTGGAATGTTGACCAGTAGTTTCAAATCAGGTTCTGCTTCTGGGAAGATGGATCATGTTATGTCATATTCTAAAATCCAGGAAGAGTCATTATTGCTAACAGCAATAATTCTATAAAGTTTTATTGCTTCTGGAGTTTTCTCATGTGCATGATCTTATAGATATGAAATGGTGAGATAAGTTGCCAATGAAGATTTTGGGGTAGGGAAAGACAAAAAAAAGTGGAATTTAAAGCAGAATATTCTGCTAATGGAACTCCAGATGGCTTGGAGGGGGAAGAAATAGGAGAGAGGGAGGCTAGTAGAGAAGTTGCTGGAGTTATCCAGGAGGTGAGCAGGCACAGAACTTAGACCAAGACAATAGTGGAAATTGGAGAGGAAGGAACAGATAAAAGACACATGTTCTACAGAGGAGCAATAGGACTTTGTAACTAAAAATGAGTTTGGGGAGGGAGGTGGGGGGCATATTAAAGATAACTCCCATATTTTAAATCTGGAAGAATGATGGTTCAGTGGACAGAAGCAAAGAAATTGGTAAAGGGAACCCTGTTTAGGGTGAGGCTGGTTTTCTTGTTTTTATGTTTGGCTTAATGGTGATGAGAGACAAGAGTAACTCTTAGATGAAAGCCTAAGACTGAAGAGTCTTCATCTGTTAGCATAGAGAGAAGAGTTTCCATGGAATGCTATGTTCAAGTAGAGACTTAAATGTCCTCCTTTGTGGCACGGCAGACCCGTAGGATCACAGTAGCTGTCAGCACCTCTTGGTTTCCTGGCACACAGGTGAATTATTGCAAAAGTAATAAATATGGTTTCTGATTGAACCAAGGATCTCTCAACTTTGCAGATCCATTTAAATCTTGCAAATAGCAAATGTGGTTATGAAAATCTTGGAAGTAGAGATTGGCTAAGATAAATTATGTCCAAATCATAGAATGAGTCATAGGAATAAAATCCTCTTTAACCATCAGTGAATATTCTGACAAAGCTATCTACCTACTTCTAAATAGAATATTATACTTTTTTCTTTCAATGAATGTTCAATTTATAGTGTCTCTACACCCACGCACACAAAAAGAGTGCAAAGAGAGAATGAAAAAGATATTAACTTGAAGCCCCATTAATCAGGCTTCAGAGAAGACCCTGTTATTAAGCTCTTGATCATCATCAGCAGCAGACATTCATTAAGCACCTGATTGTGCTTATGCTACGTATTCATGCACTGGGCAAAAGCCACATGGGCTTGCCCTCTCTGGGTATGTAGACCCTACATGCAAGAGCAAGAGAGAAAATAGTGTAAAATGGCCAGATA